AACTCCAGGCCTGACTTCGCTACATCACTTGCTGCTGAATGAAAAATGTCATGGTTGCGCGGGCGCATGAATGACAATGCGAATGGTTCGGCGTACACCCATTTCTCTATAGCCGCGCTTTTGCCCCCAACCCACTACCGCCCTGTTTTAAGGGAGTGCGTTCTGCTTTGCTGCTGCTGCGCGTCGCAAGGCAGCGCCTGGACGAAGCCCCCCCGCGAGTGAATTCCAGGACTGACTTCATTACAGAACTTGCTGCTGAGTGAAAAATGTTAAAGAGAATCAATGATTTGGGCCTCTTCGGGCCTTCCTGGGGGCCCTCTTGGAGGCCTCTTGGGCCGTCTTGGGCCATGTTCGGGCCGCGGCCGTCTTGGTGGGCTCCTGGCCCGCCTGACGCCGTCGGAAGCCGTTCTGGGCGCCTCTCTGGGCCGACTTGGGGCCCTCTTGGGGTGCTGCAGGGCTGTCTTGGAGGCTTTCTTGAGCTCGTTAGAGGCCTCTTGGGCCCTCTTGGGGCCGTCTTGGGGGCATCTTGGGCCGTTTGGGGGCCATATTGGAGGCGTTTTGGGCAATTTGGGCCGTCTCGGGCCGTCGGAAGGCCGAGAAGAAACAAATACCCACATTTCTGAAAACCCGAAGATCATCAATGATTTCGGCCTCTTCGGGCCTTCCTGAAGGCCCTCTTGGAGGCCTCTTGGGCCGTCTAGGGCCATCTCAGAGCCATCTTGGGCCGTGTTGGTGGTCTCCTGGGCCGCCTTGGAGGCTTCCCGGGCCGTCATAGAGGCCTCCTGGGCCGGTTTGGGGGACCTCTTAGGCAGTCCTGAGGCCATGTTGGAGGCCTTGGGCACTCTTGGGGGCGATCTCTTGGAAGCCTCTTGGGGCGTCGGAAGGCCGAAAAAGAGCAAATACGAAAATCTGTCAAAAACCTAAGGGATATCAATGATTTCACGTAGCCTCTTCGGGCCCTCCTGGAGAACCGCTTTGCGGCTCTTAAGCAGTCTTGGAGGCCTCTTTGGCGCCTCTTGAGCAGTCTTGGGCCGTCTTGGAGGCTTCTTGGGCGGATTTGGAAGTGTCTTGGGCCGTCTTGGAGGCCATCGAGGGACCATCTTGGAGGCCAGCTTGGGTCGTCTTGGAGCCATCTGGAGCAGGTAAAACCTTGGCAACCGGATCTTGCGATCCCTTCCGGGTGGCCGGGGCGGGCTGGACCGGAGCCCCAGGGGGAGTTTTTTGGGAACAGAACCAACACCGAAAACGGTAGCGTCTAGCACGCCAGGTACCTTTGTGGCATGCCAACAGGGGGCGGCGGATCGAAGACGCCTACGGCGAATCACCGCCGCTGCCTGCTTTTTTGGAAGCGCCTATGTGGCCGAACATTGAGGCCAGACCTGCCAAGCCATCGGACCATGTGTTCCCCGAATCGGTTTGGAAAGTCTTCGGGGAACACGTGGACATCTTGAAGGTCATCTTGGCCGCAAGGAGGCCATTTTGACCCTTTCGGGCCTTCTTGGAGGATGTCTTGGAGGGCTCTTTGGCCGTCGTGGAGGCCATTTTGAGCGTCTTGGAGGCCTCTTGGACCGTCTTGGGGGCCTCTTGGGGCCGTCTTGGGCCTCTTGGGCGATCTTTGGGGGCACTTAGGCCGTCTCGGGCCGTCGGAAGCCGAACAAAAAGAAAATGCCACAATCCTGCAAAAACTCATGGGAAATCAATGATTTTGGCCTTTTTCGGGCCTTCCTGGAGGCCCTCTTGAAGGCCTCTTGGGCCGTCTTGTGCAATCTTTGTGCCATCTTCGGCCGTCTTGGTGGGCCCCTGGCCTGTCCGACGCCGTCGGAAGCTGTTTGGGGGGCCCCTCTGAGCCGACTTGGGGCCCTCTTGGAATGCTCCAGGGCCGTCTTGGAGGCCATCTTGGGCATCTGAAAAGCCTCTTGGGCCGTCTTGGGGCCATCTTGGGGGCCTTTTGGGCCGTTCCGGGGCCATCTTGGAGGCATCTTGGGCGATCTGTGGGCGATCTTTGGGGGCTCGTGGGCCGTATCGGGCCGTCGCAAGGCCAAAAAGAAGCAAATGTCAAAATCCTGCAAAAACCTAAGAAAATCAGTGTTGTTTGCCTTTTCTGGCCTTCCTGGAGGCCCTCTTGGAGTCCTCTTGGGCCGTCTTGGGCCAGCTTCGAGCCAACTTCGGCCATCTTGGTGGGCTCCTGGCCCGTCTGACGCCGTCGGAAGCCGTCTTTGGAGCCTTTCTGGGCCGACTTGGGGCCCTCTTGGGATGCTCCTTGGGGCCCTCTTGGGCGTCTTGGAGGCCTCTTGGGCGGTCTTTGTGCCCTTTTGGGGCCGTCTTGGCGGCCTCTTGGGCAGTCCTGAGGCCATCTTGGAGGCCTCTCGGGCGATCTTGGTGCGATCTTGGGGGCCTATTGGGCCGTCTTGATCCGTCGGAATACCGAGAAGATGCAAACTCCAAAATCAATGATTTTGGCCTCTTTGGGCCCTCCTGGAGGACCTCTTGGAGGCCTCTTGGGCCGTCTTGGAGGCGTCTTGGAGGCTTCTTGGGCGAACTTGGGGTCACCTTGGACTCTCTGAGGCCGTCTTGGAGGCCATCTTGGACCATCTTCGGCGGACTTGGAGGCCATCTGGGACCATCTTGGAGGCCATCTTGGGCCAACGTGGCCATCTTGGAGGCCATCGTGAGCAGTCTTGGAGGATTTTTCCGGGAATTGAGCTCCGTGAAGATGGTCCCGGGACCCCGGCAAGGACGGGCCGAAGCCCCAGGGGAAGTTCTTTTGGAAAAAGAACCAAAACCAAAACCGAAATAATTTAGCACGCCCACCCCGTCAAGGTGCCTGGGTTGTGGGCATGAAGCCTACTTGATGTTCGTAGGGATCTCGTGAGAGGCCTGCTGGATGCCTCCTGGAGGCAGTTTGGAGGCCTCTTGGGAGCCGTTTTAGGTCCCTTTTAGGCCTCTGTTAGAACTCGTGGGGCCTCTTGGGGGCCTCTTAGGGGCTTCTTGGGAGGTGGAACTGCATGCGGACCCTGCCACCGGGGCCTTCTGTGGACCAGACGATGGCCACGAAACGTGTGAGGGGTGCGCCGAAATGGGTGTGCAACTGCATGCGGACCCTGCCACTGGGGCCTTGGGCGGAGCACCCTGTGGGGCCGCGAAACGTGTGAGGGGTGCGCTGAAATTGAGGTGGAACTGCATGCGGACCCTGCCACTGGGGCCTTCGGCGGAGTTCCCCCTATGGGGCCGCGAAACGTGCGTGGGGTGCGCCGAAATGGAGGTGGAACTGCATGCGGACCCTGCCACTGGGGCCTTCGCTGGAACACCCTATGGGGCCACGAAACGTGCGAGGGGTGCGCCGAAATGGAGGTGGAACTGCATGCGGACCCTGCCACTGGGGCCTTGGGCGGAGCAACCCATGGGGCGATGAAACGTGTGAGGGGTGCCGCCGAAATTGAGGTGGAACTGCATTCGGACCCTGTCACCAGGGCCTTCGGCGGAGTACCCGATGGGGCCACGAAACATGCGAGGGGTGCGCAGAAGTGGAGGTAGAACTGCATGCGGGCCCTCCCACTGCGGCCTTCGGTGGAGCACCCTATGGGGCGATGGAACGTGTGAAGGGTGCGCTGAAATGAAGGTGGAACTGCATGCGGACCCTGCCACTGGGGCCTTGGGCGGAGCACCCTGTGGGGCCGCGAAGCGTGCGAGGGGTGCGCCGAAATTGGGGTGGAACTGCATGCGGACCCTGCCACTGGGGCCTTCGGCGGAGCACCCTATGGGGCCACGAAACGCGTGAGGGGTACGACGAAACGGATGTGGAACTGCATGCGGAGCGGACCCTACCATTGGGGCCTTCGGCGGAGCACCCTATGGGGCCGCGAAACGTGCGAGGGGTACGCCGAAATGGGGGTAGAACTGCATGCGGACCCTGCCACTGGGGCCTTGGGTGGAGCACCATATGGGGCCGCGAAGCGTGCGAGGGGTACGCCGAAATGGCGGTGGAACTACATGCGGACCCTGCCACTGGGGCCTTCGGCGGAGCACCATATGGGGCCGCGAAGCGTGCGATGGGGAGCGCCGAAATGGAGGTGGAACTGCATGCGAACCCTGCCATTGGGGCCTTCGGTGCAGCTCCCTATGGTCACGAAGCGTGTGAGTGGTGCGCCAAAATGGAGGCAGCGGGAGGAGGGGGTGGGAGGAGGAGAAGGAGGAGGAGGAGGAGGAGGAGGAGGAGGAGGAGGAGAGGAGGAGGAGGAGGAGGAGGAGGAGGAGGAGGAGGAGGAGGAGGAGGAGGAGGAGAGGAGGAACGCGGGGCGCTGTTTCTTCAAAACGAGGACCCAACACCACAGGATGGTTGGGAACGATTGGGCTCTCGTGCCAGGTCCGCCACCTTGTGGCTGCTGCCGCCGCCCTCGCGTCGCTTCGTCGCCGCCCGTCGTTTGTGCTCTTGTGCCAGGTCCGCTGCCTTTGGCCGCTGTCGGCGCCCCGTCGTCGTTTCGTCGCCACCCATCACCACTGCCTCGTTGCCCCCCCATCGATTGCAATCCAATCGGCTCCAACCCAATCGATTCCAACCGAGTAATAGCATAGATTGCCTCACACACATTGCGCGACGCAGCTTGTCCCACTTATCTTGCACAACTCAAATGTCACCAAGTAGCTTGCACACCATAGACTGCCCAACATAGATAGCACAACATAGCTTACACTACATAGATTGCACCACATAGCTGAACACCACATCGATTTCCCAACGCAGGGGTTGCACCACATAGATTGCACCACGCATATGGCTTAACATAGATGGCACTGCATAGCCTGAAACTCATAGATGGCACCGCGCAGCTTGCACGAAAACAGCAGTTTTGGGCCCACGCTGGTTGACATTCGCACACGTTTCGACGCTTAGCCTTCACAGCGCCCATGACGGCCCAAGAGGCCCCCATGATCGCCCCAACACCGTCCCGGAGGCTTTCAAATGGACTTCAGGACGGCACAAGCGGGGCCTAAGACGGTTCAAGAGGTTCCCATAAGGGCCAAAGAGAGCTCGAAGGGGGCCCCAACATGGGCCCAAGAGAGTCCGTAACCATTTTTGCTCGGGCAATCTTCCCCGAGACCGATGTGCTCAATCTTGCGCAGTGGTTTCATTTACTTGTGCCCAGACGTCAGCATCCCCTGCTTCGCTATTATCGCAGCTTCTGACTCCGCTAAAGATCCCTCGACATGGGGTCCTCGACGCGCGAGCGGTCTGCATGCGCTACGCGGACACGAGCTGCTGCTTTCGCGGCATCATATGTGGTTGTGTTTCTTGTTGGTTTAGTGCAAAATCACCCCCCTAACATAATACATGTCGCATACTCCGAGTACTTCGGAGCGCAAATGCCGCAAGAAGGATCGTTGTGGGCATCGCTGTCTTCTCCTTTTCCCAAGCCGCGTGGCCCCAAGGTGGCACACAGGAGCGCCACGTTTGAGGTAGAGGCCCTGGGGGAGTGGCGGACGTCCACGTTGAATTCGTTCGGGGCAGGATCAGGGGCAAATTTATGTGTTAGCAGCAATGAATCATTAAAGGCTGACTGCTTATCCAAGAACGCAGCCGTATCTGCGAAACTTCGCGAATCAGGGCCATTGACAAGGACAGCCTCTGGCTACAATTTTGGTGATGTTGTGATGATACTGGACAACAGAATTGTGTCTGTGAGTACGGTGTCCATGGGCTACGAGAGATTGTACCAGTCGGCCAGATTGCGCTCTTGTCAGGTCTTCTTTGGGGTTTCCAACCAGCAGGACCCTGCCGATGCATTTGTGATCATGGACATGCTCGGGAGGGTTCAGCCCGATCTCGTTATAGAGTTGGGCACAGCAGGTGGCGGCAGTGCGTTCTTCTATGCTCGTATCATGCGCGAGTATAACCCCAGCGCCAGGATTCTCATTCGAGAGGCCGACGCCATTCCGTCGAGCCCCACCTCAGGGAAGGAGTGCACGGTGACGGACCAAATGATGCACAACTCAAAAACGATGATGATATAAAGCAGGAGCCACCGTGCCTGGGTTATGGGTCTGGATGTCCGTTTCCACCCCGTGGGAGGCCTTTCGGGGGCACCCAGGAGGCGCTTTTGAAGCGTCTTGGGTGCTTGAGGGTTCTTTTGGGCCTCTCAGGGGCCCTTTGGGCCTTGAGGGCCTGTGGGGCCTCAATGGGGCCTTTTGGCGCGCAGAGCTCGTATTTTCGGTTCGTGTTCTCCCTCTCGAGGCCCCCTCCGCGCTGTCTCGTAGCCTTCTTCGGCCGTCTCGGGGTCGTCTAAGAGCCGGGGCCTCTTGGGCAGTCTTTGGGGCCTCTCGGGAGCCCGTTGGGAGCCTCTCGGCCCTTCTTTGGAGCGTCGGAAGCTCGAAAGGGCGAGAACCCCGAACGCAGTGAAGCACCTGGAGAAAATCAATGCGTTTTGCTTCTCGGGGCCGTCTTGAGAAGGTTCTCGGGCCTCCCTTGGGCGTCTCGAAGGCTTCTGGGCCATCTTGGCTCCGGCTTGCGCGCCTTGTGCCACTTATTCAGCGATTCGGGACCTTGGACCGTCGTGGAGACGACGGAATATAGATTTGGAGGCTCTGGAGGCTCCTGGGGTGCGCCGTGGAGTTCGTGGCCCCCCTCCCCCGCCCCCCCCCCCTTCCGCGAGATTTTGAACCGTCGTGGGGGAAAACATCAGGGGGAGGGGGGGGGGGTCAAATGTTTAACGCGCCTTTTGGCCCCTGGCATGCGGGGGTCGGCAGACTATAGACCCAGCAAGCGGACCTGGAGCAGTGCCGCTGAAACAATGGAACGATCAGGAGGTCGATATTCATTGCCCACATTGCATGCACTCTACTGAAACAAGCGTTTGGGGCCCCAATGGATCCATACGTTTTTTCCATGGTTTTCCAGATTCACCTGAGGCCATCGCCATTGCCACGGAGGCCGCGTCGCGCGCCAATACTGTTATGGTTATTGAGGATTCGGATCACATCTACGATCACGTGAAGGCAAACCTTGATGCCTACCATCATTTCGTGACGCCAGGGAGCTACTTCCTCGTGCAAGACACGCGCCTGGGAGGGCCGCACCAAGCACTGCGTAATTTCCTTGAAAGCGCCAGCGGAGCTTGTTATGACATCGACAAGCGCTGGGAATATTTCATATATTCGCAGCATTTCGATGGATTTCTGAGGCGGAGGAACAACTGCACAACGTAATCAGCATTGATATTTGTGCGCCGAGCGTGGCAGGAATGAGCCCGACCCTTCCCTGAGCATCCGGAGCCCGTAGAAAACTAAGTTTTGGTCTTCGCCCTTAGTTTGTCTCTTAGTTTCGCCCGTAGATCGGCCCTTATATTGGCTCCTAGATTGGCCTTTAGTTTGAACCTTTGTTTTGTGAATGTGCGTTCCTTCTCAAACACCTACAGCCACTCTTATGTATCACGCTACTCTTGTGTCTATATACATGTTGTGCGTTTGACAGTCGATTTATCCGTAAGGGTTTCGCCCCACGCCGCCGGCCCCCTGTCTCGGATAATGGGAGATGCAAAAGCTAAATCATGAGGTCTGGGCGCCGCCGTGACGCAGTGTCGGGATCTGTTCGTTTGTCGACCCTGACCCCGCCGATCTGCGTGAGGGGCGCCACCGAATTTCAGGAATGTTGCAAATCCTGTTGGTTGGGGCGGGCTCGTTCCAGTCGCCCCAGCTGAACATCTGGCCTGCCGACGACCCTGTGCCGAGGGTTGATAACCAGGCCGGTATGAATAAGCCAATACAATGCAACATGTTATTAGGGTCCTGCCAGTGCATACACCAGACAATGCCATATGTATATGTATATATGTATATCTGTATATATATATATGCATATATATATATATATATATATATATATATATATATATATATCCCGGGGGGGCAGGCCCGGGGCCCGAAAACAGCTGCCTCGACCCTCCATGGGGGCACCGAGGCTCATTTTCTTTATTACCTAACAGCGTAGACTGATAGGTTTCTAGTGGTCTCAAAAAAGCTCACAGATCACTCCACAGGGGGGTCTGGGCGGGTGCCGGACAGGGTGCCGCAGAATTCATTTTAAGCCAACAGTCACACACTTCGTGCTCTTCGACTTCCCAGAACTCCATTCCCGGGCCACATTCTGAATGCCCGGAGCCAACTGTAGGCCACTTCGTGCTCTTCGAGTTCCCAGAACTCCATTCCCGGGCCACATTTTGAATGCCCGGAGCCAACTGTAGGCCACTTCGTGGTCTTCGAGTTCCCAGAACTCCATTCCCGGGCCACATTTTGAATGCCCGGAGCCAACTGTAGGCCACTTCGTGGTCTTCGAGTTCCCAGAACTCCATTCCCGGGCCACATTTTGAATGCCCGGAGCCAACTGTAGGCCACTTCGTGCTCTTCGAGTTCCCAGAACTCCATTCCCGGGCCACATTTTGAATGCCCGTAGCCAACTGTAGGCAACTTCGTGCTCTTCGACTTCCCAGAACTCCCATTCCTGGACCACACTTTCAGCAGGGGCAAGAGCACGACGAGGAGGAGGACGAGCAAGACCAGGAGGACGAGGACGAGCAGGAGCAGGACGAGGAGCAGGAGGAGCAGGAGAAGAAGGACGAGCAGGAGGAGGAGGAGGACGAGCAGGAGGAGGAGGACGACCAGGAGGAGGAGGACGACCAGGAAGAGGAGGAGGAGGAGGAGGAGGAGGAGGGGAGGACTACCAGGAGGAGGAGGAGGAGGAGGAGGAGGAGGAGGAGGAGGAGGAGGAGGAGGAGGGAGGAGGAGGAGGACTGAGAGGAGGGGGGGGGAGAGCACCAGGAGGAGGAGAACGAGGACCACCAGGAGGAGGAGGAGGGAGGAGGAGGAGGAGGAGGAGGAGGAGAGAACACCACGAGGAGGAGGACGAGCAAGACGAGGAGGACGAGAACGAGGGCGACCAGGAAGAGGAGGAGGAGGAGGAGGAGGAGGAGGGGAGGACTACCAGGAGGAGGAGGAGGAGGAGGAGGAGGAGGAGAGGAGGAGGAGGACGAGGAGGAGGAGGAGGAGGACGAGGAGGAGGAGGGGGGGGGAGAGCACCAGGAGGAGGAGAACGAGGACCACCAGGAGGAGGAGGAGGAGGAGGAGGAGGAGGAGGAGGAGGAGAGGAGCACCAGGAGGAGGAGGACGAGCAAGACGAGGAGGACGAGAACGAGGACGAGCAGGAGGAAGAGGAGGAGGAGGAGGAGGAGGAGGAAGGAGCAGGAGAAAAATGAGGAGGAGGAGGAGGAGGAGGAGGAGGAGGAGCAGGAGAAAGAGGACGAGCAGGAGGAGCACGAGGACGAGCAGGAGGAGGAGGAGGAGGACGAGCAGGAGGGGAGGGCGGCCGGCTGCCCCGGCCAGGCTCCTACACATGGCTGTTAGGTTGCTTTGCCGGGATAATTACCTAACAGCGAAGACTGATAGGTTTCTAGTGGTCTCAAAAGAGAGCAGCAGATGACTCCACAGGGGGGTCTGGGCGGGTGCCGGACAGGGTGCCGCAGAACTCATTTTAAGCCAACAGTCACACACTTCGTGCTCTTCGACTTCCCAGAACTCCATTCCCGGGCCACATTCTGAATGCCCGGAGCCAACTGTAGGCCACTTCGTGCTCTTCGACTTCCCAGAACTCCATTCCCGGGCCACATTTTGAATGCCCGGAGCCAACTGTAGGCCACTTCGTGGTCTTCGAGTCCCCAGAACTCCATTCCCGGGCCACATTTTGAATGCCCGGAGCCAACTGTAGGCCACTTCGTGCTCTTCGAGTTCCCAGAACTCCATTCCCGGGCCACATTTTGAATGCCCGGAGCCAACTGTAGGCCACTTCGTGCTCTTCGAGTTCCCAGAACTCCATTCCCGGGCCACATTTTGAATGCCCGTAGCCAACTGAGGCTGAGGCAGGCTGCTGCTGAGGCAGGCTGAGGCTGAGGCTGAGGCAGGCTGAGGCTGAGGCAGGCTGAGGCTGAGGCTGAGGTTGAGGCTGAGGCTGAGGCTGAAGCAGGCTGAGGCACACGCTGAGGCAAGCTGATGCTGAGGCAGGCTGAGGCTGAGGCTGAGGCTGATGCAGGCTGAGGCTGAGGCTGAGGAAAAGGTTGAGGCTGAGGCTAAGGTTGAGGCTGAAGCTGAAGCAGGCTGAGGCTGAGGCTGAGGCAGGCTGAGGCTGAGGCTTAGGCAAGCTGATACTGAGGCAGACTGAGGCTGAGGCTGAGGCAGGCTGAGGCTGAGGCAGGCTGAGGCTGAGGCAGGCTGAGGCAGGCTGAGGCAGGCTGAGGCTGAGGCTGAGGCTGAGGCTGAGGCTGAGGCTGAGGCTGAGGCTGAGGATGAGGCAGGCTGAAGCAGACGCTGAGGCAGGCTGAGGCCGAGGCTGAGGCAGGCTGTGGCTGAGGCTGAGGCTGAGGCAGGCTGAGGCTGAGGCTGATGCAGGCTGAGGCTGAGGCAGGCTGAGGCTGAGGCTGAGGCTGAGGCTGTGCTGTGGCTGAGGCTGAGGCTGAGGCAGGCTGAGGCAGACGCTGAGGCAGGCTGAGGCTGAGGAGGCTGAGGAGGAGGCTGAGGCTGAGGCTGAGGCTGAGGCTGAGCAGGCTGAGGCTGAGGCCGAGGCAGGCTGATGCTGAGGCTGAGGCAGGCTGATGCTGAGGAGGCAGGCTGAGGCTGAGGCTGAGGCAGGCTGAGGCTGAGGCTGAGGCAGGCTGAGGCTGAGGCTGAGGCAGGCTGATGCGGAGGCAGGCTGAGGCTGAGGCTGAGGCTGAGGCTGAGGCTGATGCAGGCTGAGGCTGAGGCAGGCTGAGGCTGAGGCCGAGGCTGAAGGCAGGCTGTGGCTGAGGCTGAGGCTGAAGCAAGCTGAGGCTGAGGCTGAGGCAGGCTGAGGCTGAGGCTGAGGCAGGCTGATACTGAGGCAGGCTGAGGCTGAGGCTGTGACTGTGTCTGCCGTTGCCACTGCGACTGTCATCGCGAATGCGACTGCGACTGCGAGAACAGGAGAATTCTACAACTGGATTCTCATCTGGATCTTAAGGGGAATGTTTCCATATATGCTTCTACACATCGCTACATAGCGTGCTGCCTGCTCCTGCAGCGCCACCAGCGTGCCTTGCAGCGCTTGCATCATTCGGACTGGAGCGATGTCATGCACTGGATCCACTGCAACTGTGAACTCTGCCACATTCTCATGCAGGTAGGCCATGTCAGGCTGTTCTGCTGCTTCTCCGTCTTTGTCTGTCTCTTTCTCCTCGTCAGACTCGTCTCCCGCCTCGTCGTCTCTGCCCACTTCCGGCGCTCTGGATGCTGGCCCCAACAGACGTACCGGGGCTTTGTCCGCACCGTCCACTGGTTGCAGACAAGCTTGGATGTGGTCTGGCACGCCGTCATTGTCCAGGCCCCTTCATAATCATCCATTCATCATCCATTTCGTTGTCCGTGCCTCTGTGTGCTCAACCCACTTTTCTGTTCTGTATATTGAATGCGCTGCTTCACCACGCCCCGCGGTGCTTCTCAGCCTGCCTAGTCATTTACGGTTCTTTCAGCCAACTAGCGATGGTCAAGAAATTGGTTTTCAAAAAAAAATCTGCTACCAAAAGGTATCGACCCGCGCTGGCCCCTGGCATGGAGAAGAAAGATTTGGCCACTCCGAGGAGTGCAACTCTTCATTCGCTTCGCTCACTCCGCCGGCCCATGTTGTAGCATCGCTGGCGCTTGCTTCCGTGCTCGGGCGCGGGCGTCTGAACGGCCTCCTCGGGCCGCTTCGGGGTTCTGAGGAGCTCCTTCGGAGCCTTCTGAGGGGTTCTGACGAGCCTCTGAGGGCCTTTCTGGGGAAACCTCTTCGGTCCTCCTGAGCCTCTGGGAAATCTCTTCGCCTTTCTTGGGACTCCCTGGCGGGCCTCGGGGCCGCGCCCAGAGGGAAAACCATCGTGGATTAACGCGCCTCAGCTCCATTTCGGCCAGCGAACTTCAGGTCGCCGCCGTGCTGCGAGGAGAACGGCAAGGCGCTCCGGGTGCAGACGTGGTGGCAAAGTTACGCTTCAGATGAATGTCATATCTTCACTGTTAGTTGGTGCAAAACCCCCAACAAGCAGATATGAGCGCTTCTTGTACAATGATGCCCTTGTTCGCTGTCGCATTTGCAGTGCCCCTCAATCTTCGAGTGCAGAACTGCATTTCGCATGTGGGGCATGCGCAGCTAAGCAGGCTCGGGATTGTATATGTTCAGGCATCGCATCTCTGCATGGCAATGTGAATTTAGAGCTCTTGTCAGAATTCGTTTCAGGTATCCGATCGCCAGAAAACCCTGTGTACCAACCATTTGACCCCGAGGATCAACGCAAACTGCAGGAATCCCTGGAGAAAGGTGCTGCGGTGCTTCTCAGCCTGCGGACTTCGCGCAGCACGAGTGTTTTGGTTCGTTCCCGCCACCTCGTGCGTCTGATCTACATTGCTGCCATGACGGGCTTGGCAGCGACCGTGGATGCTGCAGCGCCATACCTAGCTCAAAACGACTTGACAGGTTTCAGGCATTACCTCGACAC